CTATAATTTGAGAGTTTTATAAATGGTATTGAATTTTGTCACATTTTTTTCTCTATTTATTGATCTTTTTTTTTTTTTTTGGTTAATGTGAATCAAATTGATTTTTCAGGTTTTTTTTTTTTAAAGATTTTTTTTTATTCATGAGAGACAGAGAGAGTGAGGCAGAGACACAGGCAGAGGGAGAAGCAGGCTTCCTGAGGGGAGCTGGATGTGGGACTCTATCCCAGGACCCCAGGATCTCCACGTGAGCCAATGGCAGACACTTAACCACTGAGCCACCCAGGCGTCCCAATTTTCAACTTTTAAAGCAACCTTACATTCTTAGGATAACCTCACTTTGTTGTGAGGTATTATCCTTTTTATAAGTTGTGGTGTTTTTTAAATTCTGAATTCAGTTTTAATAGACATAGTACTAAAGTTTCAATTTCTTTCTACTTCTGTCTTGGTAACTTATTTCTTTCAAGGAAATTGTCCATTTTATCTAGTCTTTTTCTTATAAGATTTATAATATTTCCTTATTATCTATTTAATATCATTTTAATATCTGCAAGCCCTGTAGTAATTTTTAATTCATTTTTTATATCAATAACTTGTGTTGTTCCTTTTTTTTACTAAGTTAACAGAATTTTTAGTTTTTTATCTTCCAATCCTTTTATAAACATTTATTTTTAAAACCTGATATATTACAGCATATATAAAATTACATATTTATCTGAGAATATATTATATATTTTCAATGACCATATGTTTAGTCACTTTTTTAAAACCACTTATTCATTGGTGTGTGATTGTCATACAAAAAGAGCTGCATGTATTTAATATACACAACTTGATGAGTTTGGAGATGAATATACATCTATGAAACCATCACTATAATCAATGCCATAAATATATCTATCAGCTTCAAAAGTTTCCTCCCATATTCCTTATTTATTTTTATTTTTTGTAATAAGAACACTTAAGATCTACCATCTTAACAAATATTTAAGTATGCGATATAGTGTTAACTACAGGCACTATGCTGTACAGTGGATCTCTAGGACTTACTTATCTTTCATAACTGAAACTTTGTACCCTTTGATCAAGACCTTCTTGCTTCCTCCTTTCCCCAGGCCCTGGTACTACCACCTATGAATATTATTAGTATTTTTAATGCATTATCCTCAAAATTGAGGACCTCCGGAAAGCTATTTTAAGATCCTCCAAAATACCTGGTTCTGTATGCAGGGTACACAATGCTTACAGATTAAATAAAGAATGATAAAGACTTAGTTGCCAAGTATAGATACAACCCTTGTTGTATTTAGTATCTATAATAAAATTACAACCCTTGTTTATCTATAATAAAATTGCCATGTGATCCAGCAATCCCACTTCAAGAGATCTAAGGGAATTGAAATCAAGATCTTGAAGAAATATATGCATTGCCATGCTTATTACAGCATTATTCAAAATGGCCAAGACATGGAAGCAACCTTTATCCATCAAGGGATGATGGATAAAGAAAGTTTTGTTTTTACATTCAATGGAATATTGTTCAGCCTTAAGAAAGAAGGAAACCTGCTATTTGCAATAACATGCATGAACCTGGAGGACATTCTACTAAGTGAAATAAGATAGAGAAGAACAAATACTGCACAATTCCACTTATATGAGGAATCTAGAATTATGAGACTCCTTTTTTTCTTTTTTTCATCTAGTTGGAAGTTTTCCTGTTTTATTAATCTTTTCAAAAAGCTAGCTTTGGTTTCATTGAGTTTTCCATGTTGTTTTTCTGTTTTAGATTACCGTGAATTCTTGTCTATTATCGTCTTCCTTCTTACTTCTGGTTTAGTTTGTTCTCTTTTCTTAAAGTTCTTATTTTATTTATTTTTTTTTTTAGTTATCTTTACACCCATTATGGGGCTTGAAACCATGACCCCAAGGTCAAGAGTCATCTGTTCTCCCAGCTGAGCCAGCCAGATACCCCTCTATTTTCTTATTCTTAATGTGAAGGCTCTGATCACTGATTTTAAATGTTGTTTTTCTTTTAAAAACATTCAAAGCTATAAAATCTTTTAAGAGGAACATTTATGTAGAAGTACATGTTAATACCTCTGAAATCAGGATGCATCTTACTCTCAAGATCATTTCACAGCTATACTTATACTTTTTTTCTTCTCAGTGGCACAAACAGTAATGATGCATCTTACAAATATTAGTGTCCCAGATTCAATGAAATGTGGTTATTATACAATTCTTTTGAACTCTGAGTATCTAGTAGTTGCTTAGTGAAGATCCTCAAATGATGCTTGTGAGTCATAACTCAAATGGCGACTTTCTCCTTGCCAGTGAGAGAGACATTGTTTATACTTTGTTTAAAGCATGAATTTTGATCTTTTATCTTTTTGTGTGTTATCCTCAAAACTGAGGGTTCCTCAAGAGCTATTTTTTCCAAAGTATCTAGTAGAATATTCTGTACACAGTGTACACAGTACTTATAGATTAAAGAATGATAAAGACTTCATTACAAAGTATAGCATTAACAGTGGCCCCCAAATGGAAGATCTCTGATTTTATAATTAATGTGTACATCAAAAAATTGCAAGGGGCATCTGGGTGGCTCAGTCAGTTGAACATCTGACTCCTGATTTTGGGTCAGGTCATGATCTCAGGATCCTGGGATCGAGCCCCATATGGGGCTCCATGCTCAGTAGGGAGTGTACTTAAGGATTCTTTCCCTTTCTCCATACCCCCACCAGAGCCACCCCCCCCAAAAAATAAATCTTTTTTTAAAATTACAAATATCTATGTTTTTTTAAAAAAAATGTTTTTTATTTATTTATGATAGTCACAGAGAGAAAGAGAGGCAGAGACATAGGCAGAGGGAGAAGCAGGCTCCATGCACCAGGAGCCCGACATGGGATTTGATCCCAGGTCTCCAGGATCGCGCCCTGGGCCAAAGGCAGGCACCAAACCACTGTGCCACCCAGGGGTCCCTATCTATATGTTTTTAAATGTCTTTCACCTTCAGTGACCAACCAGTGCACAGCAATGCACTTTTCTACCTAAAAAACAAAACAAAACAAAACAAAAACAAAAAAACAAAAAACAAAAAAAAAAACCTCTTTAATTCATTTTAGATATTTTGCTATCAATTGCTGCATTTTTTGTTTGTTTGGACGCAGATTACTTTTGTGTTCCTTTTGCAATCTAAATTAAATGTGCAAGTATTTATAGTTCATACGCTGCACTATTTGTTTTCTTATTTATGTTATCCAGTATGTGTTTAAGTACTTTATCTTTCAGGTTTTATTTCTCTTTCTCAACTGAATGAAATAGAGTATAAAAATATTTTAAAAATCTCTAACTTCTTAAAACTCTGTTGGTTTCACATGCTTGGAGGACTCCTTGGCAAGGCAGTATTCAGTCTAGAATTCTGAGGCTTTGGTCTTTGTATAGTCTACTCCTGCCCCTTCGGGTCTGGCATTTCAGCAGATAGAGTTTTCTTTTCTTTTTTGTTTTTAAAGATTTATTTATTTGAGAGACAGAAAGGGGGGAGGAGGAGTACATAGGAAGGAGGGCCAGAGAAAATCTCAAGCAGACTCCCTGCTAAGTGTGGAGCCTGATGTGAGGCTCTATCTCAGGACCCTGAGAACATGACCTGAACTGAAATCAAGAGTCAAACGTTTGACCCACTGAGCCACCCAGGCACCCCCAAATTTTCTTTATTGTTTGTTTTTGTTTGTTTTTCCTCTTTATAGGGGAGTTATATCTCATACAGATTTAAGTCAGAGGGATCCGTGGGTGGCTCAGCAGTTTGGAGCCTGCCTTCGGCCCAGGGCGTGATCCTGGAGACCGGGGATCGAGTCCTGCATCGAGCTCCCTGCATGGAGCCTGCTTCTCCCTCTGCCTGTGTCTCTGCGTGTGTCTCTGTGTGTGTCTCTGCCTCTCTCTCTGTTTCTCTAATAAATAAATGAAATCTTAAAAAAAAAATTTAAGTCAGATTCTGACTTTAGAACTCAACCCTAAGGGGAAAAAAATGACTATACTATAATCTGAGCTGCCTATGGCACTGCCACAGAGAAGAGCCCAGGGATCCATTCTTACATTGGAAAAATTTCCTCTGTCAGCAAACTTGCCTTCTTTCCTGCTCAGAAAGGCTTGGGGTCCTGTGGACACTGCTTGCTGGTATAGGAAGTCAGTGTTTCTGTTTTATCAATTAGAATACTCTGGCTTGGATTAACAGAATGCTCAACTAAATTTGGCTTAAAGAGTGAGGATTTGTTTGTCTCATTTAATAAGAAATCCAGAGTTAGGCAGTCCTAAAGTTGGTGAATGGTCGAGTGATTTCAGGGTTCTGGGCTTCCCCTTAGACTTTCAATATGGCTATCCCTGTCTTGGCATTGTATCATCCTACAGCATCTGTCCTACAGCCACTTTTCCTGGTTTGTGTGTTTGTGTGTGTGTGTGTGTGTGTGTGTGTGTGTGTGTGTGAGAGAGAGAGAGAGAGAGAGAGAGAGAGAGAAAGAGAGAGAGAAGTCAAACAGGAAAAACTTTCCCATTAACCCCATGTGGACCTCCTCATACATCTTATTATCTAGGATGATGTCACATCATGTTCTAGGTGCACAGGAGGCTGGGAAAGCAAGTCTTTAGAATATTCACATGGTACAGTGAGAGGTAGGCTCTGATTATAGAAAGGAGGTGGAGAATGGCTGTTGGCTGGGCAATCAACAGTATCTGTATAGGTGTATATGTTTGCATGTGTGAGTAAGAGAGAAAGAAATCTCTTTTTTGTTCTTCTTGTTCTTCTTTCTTCTTCTTTTTTTTTAATGGCTCAAGGCTCTTGTTCCCAGCTAAAGTTGTATGTGAACTTATAGCAGAATTTTGACCTGCCACCCTGGGGGGTGGGCGGGTGGATGATGGCATTTGGGCTAAAATTTCCTTTGTTTCCTATGACACAATCAGAACTTTATGGTTTGTTTTAGTTTCTTAGAATTTTGGTTTTGTGATTTCAGGTTGAGCCCAGAAATCTTCCTGAAACGCCCAGTGGTTGAAGGAAATCGTTGGAGGTTGGACTGCATTCTTAAACGAAAAGCAGTACGTATTCCAAACACATGCTCATGTAATTTTTGAAATGTTTATTATCTCTGAAATGTCTTTCATACATAAGTATGACTTTTTTCTTTAGAATTTGACAAAAGGTCAAATACATGATGTTTTCAAGTTTATTTGGTTCTGGTTTTTTTTCCTCTTACTCTTGGCTACATAAATATTTTCACCTAACTCACAGTATGAATTATATTAGGAACTCTAATTTTTGATTTTTAATCAGTTATGGGTAGTTAATTTTATGGGCAAAAACATTGTAACAGGATTTTATTATTGAATAATAAAGGGTGAGATGAAATGTAACATTTTATTTTATTCATTATTCTGCCGTTGAGCAACAGATAAAGTCATGAGGAGAATGATTACAGTTAGAGGGGCCAAGCTAATGTAGAAGAGTGTCAAAGAGGAGGGACATTAAGAATTGGCTGTTTCTTTGGTTCCAGTTATGGGACAGTTCATGGTAAAAATGGGAAATTGTTTCCTCTCCAGTTGACCCTGTAGATTCTGGGTGAGCACTGAGTACATCCTTCTTGGTATAAAAAGTAAGTAACTGAAGCATTATAGGCTCACCAATGACTACTTTGCATTCGTATTTTTAAAAAGATTTTATTTATTTATTCATGAGAGACACACAGAGAGAGAGAAAGAGGCAGAGACACAGGCAGAGGGAGAAGTAGGCTCCCCATGGGGAGCCCAATGTGGGACTCGATCCCAGGACCCTGGGTTCATGACCTGAGCCGAAGGCAGACACTCAACTGCTGAGCCACCCAAGCATCCCTATATTCGTATTTCTAATGAATGTTATTATATAGCTGTCTCTCAACCAAATTAAATTAAGTTGAATTAGAATAGATCTGGATTTATTATTAATCAAGTCCAAATTAGGAAGTGCTGACCTTTTTTACTATTAGTTGAAATTGTCTTAGTTTTTCTTATTCTATCATTAAACATTCTAGTATTTGTAGATCCTGGGTGGTGGGGAGTAGCATTTTTTTTTTTTTAGTTGTGACTCATTTCTTCTTTCCCATTCTCCACATTCCCCTTTTCTTTTCCCACTCATGACTCTCCCTTCTTTTTTTTTTTTAAGATCTTATTTATTTATTCAAGACAGAGAGAGAGAGAGAAAGAGGAAGAGACACAGAGGGAGAAGTAGGCTCCATGCAGGGAGCCTGACTGGGACTCGATCCCAGGTCTCCAGGATCATACCCCTGGCTGAAGGCAGTGCCAAACTGCTGGGCCACTGGGGCTGACTGAGTCTCCCTTCTTTCAGTGTCTTTTTCCCATGCCTTGCTTTAAGATCTCTGAAGATATCCACAGATAGAGTCGAACCCCACTGCTAATACATTGATGGAAGAAGAAGCTGATAAACTTTATTTCAAACACAGGTTCTGCCCAATAGCATCATCTTTGTGGCTAGTCTATTTCATTGTCTCAACAGAATTCCATTCGCAGGATTGGAAATTCTGATCCTGAAAAGCATGATTTGCATATTCGTTAAATAATTTAGCATAGAGTTATTGAGTGTCTCCTATGACCCAAGTACTACACTAATTACTAAAGATGCCATGTGTGTGAATAGGATTCCATCCCTGCCCATGGAGGGCTTGCTAAAGGACTCATGTCCTGGGTTCAGTCCTAGCCTTACCAAATTTCTATCTATATGACCCAAGTACTACACTAATTACTAAAGATGCCATGTGTGTGAATAGGATTCCATCCCTGCCCATGGAGGGCTTGCTAAAGGACTCATGTCCTGGGTTCAGTCCTAGCCTTACCAAATTTCTATCTATATATTAAATGGGCTATAACTTTCTCTATGGTCCTGTCTGTGAAATGGCATCTTTCTCATCTGTCCTCAAGACTCCATTTCAGTTTGACTGCCTGGGTGGCTTAGTTGGTTAAGCGTCTGCCTTCAGCTCAGGTTGTGATCTCAGGGTCCTGGGATCAAGCCCCATGTCGGGCTCCTGCTCAGTGGGGAGTCTGCCCCTTCTTCTGCTCATTTGCTCACTCTCTCACTCTGTCTTGCTCTTTCTTTTCTCTTTCTCTCTCATTCTCTCTCTCCAATAAATAAAATTATAGTTAAGTTGTGTTCCAATCTTGCCTAGTAGTTGTCAGCTATACTAGTAAATCGTCTTTATGGTACCTATCCAACACTTCACTGTTGTAGGTTTCAGTCAACATGAATTTGTTGAGTGTCTACTATGTGCAGGGCACTTGGCTTAACAAATGGGCATGTACATAAATAAAAGACACAATTCCTGACCTGAAAGAGGTTAAAACTCAAGAGTCAGCTGGGTACAGAGACAGTGCCAAGATTCAAAGGTGGGAGAGAGACCATTGGGTCACTCTAGTGGGGAAGCCCCTCACAATATGAGGAATTTAGGGCAGTTAGAGTGGGCAAAAAAGTTTGAAATGAAAGGAAGAAGTGTCTAGGTGTAGAAAATGTGGTGAGGAAACATTCTGGAGGCAAGAATTCTGAAGGCTTGGTCAGTGATGGTAAAGTGACAAGGTTGATTATACCCGAGTGTTGGCTTAAGTAGGATGCCAGGTCAAGTTGGAAAGGTAGTTGCAGCCAGATGTGGAGGCTTGTGGGCCAAGTCAGTGGTTTGGATTTTATGGAAGAAAGTGGGGTAACTACTGGGGAACGGGACCTGGTAGAGGAAGGATGATCTGATCAAGATGGTGTGTTAAGAATGTGAATCTGGCAGTGGGAGGAAGTGGGAATAATCCAGGCTCAAGGAGCTCAATTCTAGCTGACTTGAGTGTGAGGCGCCTACAGGACATCCGAGTAAATCAGAAAGCTAGTAAATCCCTCTGGAGGTTGGTCTCCCTGTCATGGAGGCCTGGCCCTCCATGCTATGCTAGTTCTCATGTGTTTGCTTTCCCCTTAGGCTATTGGCCAATTCACGTTTCTATCACTAGCATGGCTTTTCTTTGCTGTAATGGCCCATGAACCCTGGTGAGGTCCTCTAGGTGAACAGCATGGCCAAGTAAATATTATTGTGTGATAATGGTGCTTCTTTTTAATTTCATCTCCTTCATGAAACTTTAAATTTTTAGATTGTGCACAATGATTTTAAAAATTTCCTAAGGAAATAGTAATACTACTTAAAATATTAATTTCCTACTGGTATATTAGGCACAATTGCTCTTCCTTGATCTAGCTGTGCCATATTATTTTGGTCATAAATTTTTACCTCCTGGACCATTCTAAATTGATATTTTCTATGTCTATAAACACTGCTTCACATAATTTAGTTTCTGAAAGCCACTACCTTCACAAAGCACTAGGTTGAAAATAACATTTATTCTCCTGTTAATGAGTCCTGCGGTCCACAAGGCTGATTAAAATAAAGACTTTTTCTATCTCAGTGTGTAGATTTAAGGGGAGGAATTTAGTGTCTCTGCCTCATAGCCAAGATATAGGCAAACATTTCTTATAATGGCAGTTTTTAGGGAAGAAATACAATATTTTGTTTCTCTAGTGATAGCCAAGTTGGTGTTTTCCTATTTCTTTGGCCTTTTGATAAGCAGTGTTCATTTAAAATAGTATAAGGCAACCTTGACTTACAGACTGATGACAACTCAAGTCAGCATACCAGGGTTTGCCATAGATCTGCGTTTACTGCCCCAAGAGCTGAGATAATTTGCATCATAGTTATGACAACTGTATTCCTGTACCCACCGTGTATATTTCAGCCTTAGAAATATGTGATATTTCTGATGGGACTTATGTCAAAAGAATCTTCCAAATGCAGTAACCTGGAGGCTTAGAGAAAGGAGCTTAGGTCCTCAGGGGGGATGTTGTCGTCAGACAATTTCTTTCTGTCCTGGATCAGAAGGCACATTGTAGAGTTGCAGTTGGTGATCATCAGGAGGAAAAGATGTTCAGGTTTGTCAAATGAGGCAAATAATCACATCTTCAGGCAGAAAAATCAAACAAGATCTTATCAAAGTCCTGGGCTAGAAGGGCCTTCTGGGAAGACCAGAATATGTCTTGAACCTTGAGGACTGTGCTTCAAATGGAACTGGTTAGGGATCCCTGGGTGGCGCAGCGGTTTAGCGCCTGCCTTTGGCCCAGGGCGCGATCCTGGAGACCTGGGATCGAATCCCACATCGGGCTCCCGGTGCATGGAGCCTGCTTCTCCCTCTGCCTGTGTCTCTGCCTCTCTCTCTCTCTCTCTCTGTGTGTGTGACTATCATAAATAAATAAATAGAAATTTAAAAAAATGGAACTGGTTAAAAAAAAAAAGGCATAGGAGCATTTGTGCTCTTTCACGAAGCTTACATTTGAATGACAAGGATATGATTTCCTTTTGTCCTTTACTTTTCATTTTCCCAAAATATCGTGCCCTCTGGGGAAGTCCTTGTGAATGATAAAATTAGGGTAGTTCTTGGGATTGCATAAGTTATCTTGGCTGCATTCAGAAAATATTTTGATCACGATACTTTGAATAATTAGAGAAAAATCTGGCTCAAAGAAGTCTCCTTGACTTCAACTATAAAGAATTCTTATTTTTTGTTGTCTTTACATGTGTTTTGCATATGTAAAGCTCCTAAGAATTCCTACCATGCATAGCATTATGTCTACTTGATTCAAAACTAATTAAAAAAGAGGACAGAACTTTCATCTCTTAAAGCTCAGGTTTCATGAAGTTTATTCCATGTTTACACTGTGAAGTGAATTCTGCTAACCTTTGGGTTACATGACTTCAGCAGAGATAAGAAACATGGCATCACGTAGCCCACTCCATGCCATCCATTTTCTACTTCCCCTATTAATACTTTTCTTCCTCTTCCCCTAGGGTCATGAAAAGGCATTGGTAAAACATTGGATGCTCCCAATGTGTATTTCAAATTACAGAATTAACAGCAGTCCCTTTTTCTTTTCTAACTTGACTTTCAATTTTCGCAAGTATTTCCCACATTTTGTGTAAGTCTGCTTTATTATGACCTACAAATGGCTTTGTTGCCAAGAAACATTTTTCCTTTGCCCTTTCTAGTTTAGAGTTTATGATACTGTTGTAACACCCTGACCAAAGAAGAGGAATTTATTGTTTTATGATCATAGAAATCTTGTCACTAATTAACCACTCATTGTAATATAGGTGGAAGTAAATACTTGTAAACCAGACCACCTAAAATGAACTGTTTTCTTCAATTACTTCCTTATTTGTTCTTTGTATATATGCTAAAAAAGACTTAAAAGTCCTTTTACCCTGTTTCCTTTGGAGTTAATTTATTTCAATGAGAAAAGACAAAATATAGAAGAAAATGTCAGGCATTAATAGATGGATGGTAATAATGTAATCCATTACAGCTAACACCTCTATTATTTCAAAAAATCCATTAGTTAGGTAGGTAAATGGAAAACTATAAGATTTAGGCCAGTTTCTACTACTATCCTTCAAGAATAGTAATTTCATAAACCTGAGAAGCAGACTTTCATCCATTTAAAACAAATGAACCATGATGGAAGAAGTCAGGTGTAACATTTTATAATTTAGGTTGCACTTTTGGGTTTTAAAGTTTATATTATATTTTTTGATGGGAGTCTATTTTTTTTCACTGTTATCCAGAGCTGAATCCTGAAATATTTAGAGTAAATATGAACAGTAGAGGTAAAAAACAATATTCTAGTTTTCATTTAAAGCCCTCCATCAGTGGTTTATTACAGAGCAGTAAGTGGCCAAACTGTTAGAAGTTAATCTGCTCATTTCTTGCTTACACTTTTCACTTCCTATTTCTTTACTCCTATCTGCCCTTACATACTTGGTTGCAATAATAGTTGCATAATAATAATTACTAATAAGCTAGTTCCAAAATTCAGCTGTTAACTAGAAATAAGATGACGTATATATTTTTATCCTATTTTTTTTCGAGTCAGAATGGATCTTATAGTACTCAAAGTTCCTTAATGCAGCTTAAATACATGTATTTAGTATGTTCCTCCAAAAATGCACACACTTTTCACATGTTACACCAGGAAAACAGAATGTTAGTATTTTGAAGTCATGTGTTCTTATAACAATTTGGGGGCCAGAACATGCTTCTTAATATTGGCAGACCAGTATTGGGGAACTATCTTTATATATTTGGCTTACTCTAGGATATTATATCCTGCAACCTACAAATATTAACTCCAATGTTATTTCACATTTTTATAGCATTGCAAAAGTAACCAGTTTTAATAAATTAGATGTGTTCGACCCACAGTTGACTTCTTAAATTAGTGACTCCAATTTCTATTATAAACTATGCCTAATTACCATGGATTGTTAATTTAAATTGTAACTAAATTGTTCTTTTCCACTATCGTTTTATTAGATATGCCTGCATCTCTAATACTTTAGGAAGTACTATATCATGGAAAAATTCTTGCCTTTTATCCCTAGGATATTAAATGCCAAGGTGTAGGCATTTATAGACATTAATATGTATGTGGTATGTTTCAGAGTGCCTTCAGAGCTACTGGAGGTAGAAAACTCAAATTCAAATCTTGCAAACTGCAAAGGCAATACTGAGAATGCAAACCTAAAAAAGTAAAAAGGGTCATACGATAAGTGGGGAGTAAATAAAATAAGAGTTTCCTGGAGGACTACATTTTGAACTCTGTGTTGGTGAGGGAACTATGTGAATGGCCAGGGAAAAGAGGAAGGACATTAATGTGGGGGCAGTTGAGTACAGGTTAAACCTTATCATTACCCAGAACTAGAGGAGAAAATACTGGTTGTTGTTTGTTTGTTTGTTTGTTTAGACAACCAGCTGTCAGACATTGTCTTTTTCATAGTTAATGTTAATAAAAATTGTTATCTGCATAGCATGTTAAAGTTTATCAGGCACTTTTGATTTAATTTGACCCTCACAATGACCTTGTCTATCAAGTCCAAGGTCTAAGGCTGGATCAATGTTAATAGTGTGCTGTTGTTAAAACTCAGGCATCTTTTAATGTTAAAGAAACCGACTTCCAAAGAAGTCATTTCAGAAACAGATATTAATGTTGTAATTGTGGGTTAAGAGAATGAATCGGTATATTCATCTTTTGGAGATTAAGAAATAGGTTTTTCATCTAAATATTTTTAATGAAGAAAAATTCTATTAAAACACTCCAGGAACATTTAAGGGATATTTAGTATAATTTATTGCATCAGAGTTTTGTGTCAAACTAATTGAAGTATAATAAAAGCAAACCAGAAACTCTAATCCTGTAACATGAATCAGGCCAAAACTTTCCTCAATGATAAGTGTTTGAAAATGTTCAGAGTGTAAGATCATCAGACACTTTTAGCAGATGAGGTTACTATTTCAGCCTTTCGGCTGTAATTCATCAAATATTGACACTATCTCTTGGTATGACAAGTTATAGGATTAGAAAGGAGATAAATTTTTATTTTTGATATTTGTATCTTAAAATACACTTATATTTCACCTTCTTGTATTGCATTTTTCATTAACTATTTTATTCTTGTTTGTGGAAGAAAGTTTATAATATTCAGGAAGGAAAAAGAGAAAAATCATGACCTACTTTTTAGAAATTCTCATTCCTCTTTGTGTTTTCTCTTGTAACAGCAACAGGGAGTGAGAATCTTTGTAATGCTCTACAAAGAGGTGGAACTTGCTCTTGGAATCAACAGTGAATACAGCAAGAGGACTTTGATGCATCTACACCCCAACATAAAGGTATTAAATTCATCCTTTTGAACAATAGTTCTTCTTTATTATTCTGAGGTTTTTCAGAGTTGTTTTGCCTTAAGCAGTGTAATCTGTTGAATTCCCTAATATATATTTTGAATAAATAGCATTATATCCTTCCTAGAAATAAAACAAAATACTCTAGTTCCTTATACTTCTGATATTGATGAAGTCAGCAGAGTTCATATTTCTGTTTCTCTTACCCTGATAATTTAGCCAAGAACACACCTTCTGGAATTGTTTTAATATTCAGGCGCTCTGCCAAGTTCCCATGCTCCTCATTTAGATTATCCTGGAAGCTTTTAGATATGGTCTCCTTGTGACATCCCTTGAATGCTGATAGCAACAGAGAGCTCCTCTAGGATTTAAGAAGTTTTTTCTTAATAGTGTATTGTGTAAAAAACTAATAAAGTAAATAAACACAATAATAATAAACTTGAAAAAAGCTATTTGATACTTACCAAAGATTTAAGGCCTATCGATAGTTCTTGCTTAGTCATTGAGATATGTCAAAGCAATGAATTAATAAATCTCTAGCAGGCTTAAAGTGTTTAGCAATCATATATTTTATTTGGCTAAAAAAAGATGTTCCATGTAGATAGTAATCAAAAGAAAGCAGGAGTGGCTGTACTAATCTTATATGAAATTGACTTTTTTTATGAAATTGACTTTAAGTAGAAAAAGTTTATAGAAAACAAGGAAGGATATCATACATTAGTAAAAGCTTCAATGCAGCAAGAAGATATAGCAATTATGAACATGCGCCTACTTAATAATGACGACCACAATATATAAACCAAATATTGACAGATTTAAAGGGGAGAATAGACAGTTCTACAATAATAGTTGGACACTATAATATCCCACTCTCAATAATGATTGGTATAGACATACAGTGAAATATATTTCAGTCTTAAAAAGGAAGGAAATTCTTTTTTTTTTTAATGAAACTCATTTATTCGTAATCCCTCACCTAGAAAAAAAAAATCACTATTCATATTTTGGTGCAATTTCTCCCCAGGTCTTCTTCCCCCTTACACATGCACGCACACATTTCTATTTATAGAATTGGATTATACCACACATGCTCTTTGGAAACCTTCGTTTTCACTTAAAATGCATAGAGCATTTATTTAAGTTTATCAACACCCTCCTTCCTTTTAAATGGCTACTGGTCTCCACTGTAATGGTAGGCCATGATATTCAGCTCCTACCGTGGGGAAGTTTAGGTGGTTTCCAGTTTTTTTCCATCATCAAAAGTGCTCCTGTCTTGTCCCACCATTTCCTGTGCCTCTGTCAGACTATTTGCTTGCAAGTAGAGTTGCTAAACAGCAGGTTATACACACACTAGGAGTTACTGGGGTGTACTGCCAAGTTGCCCAACCAAAGGGCATTACCAGCCTTTATTACTTTGAGAAGTGAGTGAGAGCATCTGTCTCTCCCCATCCTCATTTTCACAAGGTATCATTAAAAAAAAAAAAATGTTAATGCCGTTAAAGATTGTGAGGCTGGAGGTTAGCGTCTTGAACCCAGCACAGCACTTCTCAGGCAGAAAAGGTTCAGGCAGGGGGGTGTATTTAGAGCCCCCACAGATGGATTTGGGGGAAGCAAATCACATACAGGAGAATGCCTTTAATGTATGGGCAATGGCAGTGACTGGGAGGTTCTCTGTCAGTTTTAATGTGCAGACTCCAGAGACAGCTTCGGCCATCAGCACTGACACTTTAAAGAGGAGTTGACACTGGTAGCAGGGGAAACGTGGTCTCACATGGAAATGAAGCCCCGCGCTGCCTTCTCTTACTCCTCTTCCTGGTGATTCCAAGCAAAGGCCCAGCGTTTTGACTCTCTGTTACAAAAATCATTCTGGCTTTTTATTATTATTATTATTGGAGTTCAATTTGCCAACATATAGCATAACACCCAGTGCTCATCCCATCAAGTGCCCCCCTCAGTGCCCATCACCCAGTCACCCCCACCCCCGCCCACCCCCAACAGGAAGGAAATTCTGACATACACTAAAACATAGATGAACCTTGAAGACATTATTCTATATGAAATAAGCCAATCACAGGAAGGCAAATATTGTATGGTTCTATTTATATATATAAGTCCAAGTCAGAGACAGAGTAGAATGGTGTTTCTAGGGGTTGCAGGAAGGACAGAATGGGGAGTTATTGTTCAATGGGTATAGAGGTTTGCAAAACGAAGGGTTCTGGAGATAGTGGTGATGATCAAACGATATGAATGTACTTAATGCCACTGTACTGTACATTTAAAAATGGTTAATATGGTAAATTTTATGTGTATTTTACCACACATAAAAGAAGTAGGTTACTAAAAAAAGTAGTCTCAAAATTTTTTAGAATGTTTCTACTTAGAAGATCTACAAAAATAGGTCAGTCTGGGATCATTTAAAAAGAATTCTGTTTGAAAGCAGGAGGTTAATATCTTCTAAAAATATCTTTCAAATCAAGAACTGACAAAGTATGCATATCCCTATATCCATATGCTTGCCATTTTAATTCAATGGCTGCCAAAATATCAATGTACCTATTAAAAATTTTGTCAGAGATAGATGTTGGTTAAACATTTTTTGAGTTTTTTTGTTGTTTTTAAAATAATATCAGGTGTAATGGAATTCTTTAAAGTGGAAACAAGAATCAGCTTATGTCGAGCTGACTTACTGAACTATATGGCCAAATTACTAGCTAAATGGCAGCTGCCCCAAAATGTGGTATGGGGTGGTGCTGGTGGAGAGGCTTAAAAAGTAACTAAAAGTCTCCCTCTTCTAAATACTGAGAGTGAAATTAGAGCTTTGGTGTATACATAGCACATTTTGGTATTTGAATTCTAGAGAATGCTATTCAGGGGAGAATGGCTAAAATTGACACCTAAGGAAACAACAGTTGTTGGCGAGGATGCGGATAAAGGGGAACCCTCTTACGCTGTTGGTGGGAATGCAAACTGGTGCAGCCACTCTGGAAAACAGTATGGGGGTTTCTCAAGAAGTTAAACATAGAGCTACCCTGAGATCCAGCAATTGCACTACGAGGTATTTATCCAAAGGATACAAAAATACAAAAATAGTGATTTGAAAGGGCACATGCACCCCAATGTTTATAGCAGCAATGTCCACAATAGCCAAAACATGGAAAGAGCCCAACTGTCCACCAACTGATGAATAGATACAGAAGAAGTGGCATATATATATATATATATATATGAATATGACTCAGCCATCACAAAGAATGAAATCTTGCCATTTGCAACGACATGGATGGAACTAGAGTGTATTATTGTATTATATTATAAGTGAAATAAATCAGTCAGAGAAAGACAAGTACCATGTGATTTCACTCATATGTGGAATTTAGGAAACAAAAACAGATGAACACAGGGAAGGAAAAATAAAGTTAGATAAAAACAGGGAGGCCAAAAAAAAAAAAGGGGGGGGAGGCAAACAGTAAGAGGCTCTTATCCATAGGAAACAAACTGAGGGTTGCTGGAGGGGAGGGGGTGGGGGGACGGGCTAATTGGATGATGGGCACTAAGGAGGGCACGTGATGTAATGAGCACTGGGTGTTATATACAAGTAGCGAATCACTAAATTCTACCCTTGAAACTAATACTACGCTAAATATTAACTAACTTGAATTTAAATGAAGTCTTGAAAGAGGACCAAAGCAGAACAGAAAAGAAAGGAAGGAAGGAAGGAAGGAAGAAAGGAAGAAAAGAAAGAAAGAAAGAAGAAAGAAAGAAAGAAAGAAAGAAAGAAAGAAAGAAAGAAAGAAAGAAAATAAATGCTATTCAAGGGAGAAGACAGATCTGTTTTATTACAAAATGAAGGACATTTTAAAAAGTGCATCACCTGTGGGTGTTTCTTTTCCCTCCCAAGGTGATGAGGCACCCAGATCATGTGTCATCCAGCGTGTATCTGTGGGCTCATCATGAGAAAATTGTGGTCATCGACCAGTCAGTGGCCTTTGTGGGTGGGATCGACCTGGCCTATGGAAGGTGGGATGATAACGAACACAGACTCACGGACGTGGGCAGTGTGAAGCGTGTCACCGGAGGACCGTCGTCTCTGGGTTCTTTCACAGTAAGTGGATTTCACCTCTATGGAACTGCGTAGAAGGGACACGATTTGCATGCCTATGCGTTAATAGCGGGACTGACTGGTTGGTCGAATGAGGGGTGGCGTATCCCTGTATGAGCAGACCTGGTTTCAAACACCACCTGGCAAGTGTGTAACATCGCATCTCTTACTCTCAGTTTCTTCTCTTGTAAGAGAAAAGAGATCCAATAGTGCGTTTGATAGCTCAGAGCAGCTCCTTTGTTTTCCATTTAAACAAAAGAGTCCTTTCTCGTGTGGAAAAAAAGTTCATAAAAATATGTGTCGATTGGGCTTTAAGTTAAACAAGCAGACTTATTACAAGCGCCTGCTGAGCCTTTTGAAATCTTCCTACTTAAAGACGTGCAAAAATAGGGCAGGAGTCAAGGAGGGGCTTCTTTTGAATGCAGGAAGTTAATAACTTCTCGAAGTACCTTTCACATCAGGAGCTGCCAAGACACCCATATGCCCGTATCCACACGCAGTGCTGACTTGTTTGAACCCTGACGGTGGCCAACATATCAATACACTTATTACAATTTTGATGGGCTCGTCTTTTTTTACTGCTGGATATGTTGGTGACCTTTCTGGAAAGAAAGAGTTGGTGAATAAGTAGCTGGGAAAATAATTAACAGAAAAAGCATTTATCAGAGGCAGAAGTTCGGTAGCTCAACGGTGACTATAACGCACGTAATTGTGTCTGGAATAAAAAGGTTAGTAGGGATGAAATTTCAAGAATTTGGCCTACCGAAGGAGGAGCTACAATGGAACGCCTGGTATCCCTGTGCTAGCCCTGACCCGGCTCCTAGGAATCCTCCACTGCCCTGTGGCTGACCTCACACAGTATTGTGTGTCGGTTAGAGGGCCTCTGTCATGTGTGAACTTTACACTTCAGCTCAGCTGGAATTAAAGGATCGCATTGCAGCATACCTTACGCAGTGTCTTTTTTTCTTTTTTTTTAAATAATTTTCTCAGGCTGAAACAACGGAGTCCATGGAATCCCTAAGCCTGAAGAATGAAAAGGAATCTAGTAAAAATGTGCCCACCTCGAAGAGTGTTAATGATATGGATTCAAAGCTGAAAGGAATAGGAAAGTCCAGAAAATTCTCTAAATTTAGCCTCTACAGGCAGCTCCACAGGCATCACCTGCACAATGTAGACAGCATCAGCAGCATTGACAGCGCCTCCAGTAAGTCTTCCTTTGCCAGGTTGTATCTCGATAATTCTGTCCTGGACCCTGTGTTTACCAGTCTTTAAAACCCGTCTTCCTGGAATGGAGTCATAGGAGCGATGCTGACAGGTGGCTATAAGGCCCTAGTCAATGTCCTGCCATTTTGAGGCTTTGTTGGCCTCATTTAGAACAAATTGTTTTATTCACATACGTAGTCATCACGACCCCAATTCATACTTCTGATGGTAGCAGAATGACTAAGCGTTTCCAAAATAATGCCAAGTCACGAAGAGAAAAGCATTAGGTGTCCTTCACTTCTCAGGGAAGAAATTTCATTTCTCTTCCTATCCAGTGATACATGAAGCTTTTATCTTTAAACATTAGATTGTCTACATCTTATAAATATGCTGTTCTTTCCAAATCTGTCTTAGAGCTCTGCAGTTTTCTGTTGCACAGAATTTATGACTGATTTTATAGACTTGCCTCATTTAAAAAATGGTCGAGGCTGCTCTTCAGTTTAGAAAACTTGATGTATATGTATTTCTCTGTGTAGAAAAAAAAAAAAAAGAACTCTCAACTTTCTCCAGGTTATTGTAATCACTGTAGAAGTCGTCAGAATTTAATCCATGGTTTAAAACCCCACCTGAAACTCTTTCGCTCTTCCAGTAAGTCTGAGCAGGGGCTCCCTAGACCTGACACGGGTAAGTGATGTGTGAAGCAGCAAAATGTCCTTAGGCTTCCGCTTTTGCTGCATGAGCCGAGTGTGTTTCTGGATTGGCTTCCTGTTTGCACAGTTTTCACGCCACACGTATTACTAGAAATTGTAACCTGATGGGCTTTTGTAAGAACTAGGTGTTTGAATGAGTTTCTCAGGACCTAACGTGGGGTGGTGGGGATGAAGAGGACTTTGGCCTTGGATCGCATCAAGGGATGAGTAAGGATCTCGCAAAGTCTGGCAGCCACCGGAAAATCCTAAGCTAGTTTATCGTGTGCGGACTGCCTGTTAGGACCCTGAGCACTGGTGGTGCTTGGGAGTCGTAGCGTTATCTCCCTTTCTGCCTATCAGGAAACTGAGGGGCAGAGATGATAAGGAACTTGCACAATGGTGTTCCGGTTTATCAGCCTCCCAGAGCTCACAAGGCAGATTTGTGAGTCAGCAGAAATGCGGATTACTGCATCACGAGCGTTTGGCCGATTTCCAAGGCCAGGGTTCTAGTGTGCTATTTAGAAGACTGAGGCAGAGCCCAGCTGCAGGGGCTGGATGTGAGTCACATGGGGAACCTTGGTGTTTCTCGGGCTCTGAGAAGAACCCTCAGTAGGTGGGCCCTGGGCCCTCCCACCTCTATTGGTTCTTGCTCCAACCAGAGAAATCCTGCTTCCATATATGGAAGTTCCATGTGAATTTGTGTTGGAAAAAAAAAAAAAAGAGTAACATTCTACTGTTAGTAATAAAAGGAATTTAAAGAGCACAGCTCCACATTTAAGTTGTGTAATGATTTAAACTTACAGTGTCTCATAGGACTTGAAACCCGAATTAAACATAGAGTAGCTCTTCATGAGAAATCTGAAGCTGAGTATTTGCCTGAGTTAATAACTTCCTTTCCTGAGGCCATAAACTGGGTTAGCTTCTTTGCAGCGTTAGTTTCACCTTAACGCAAAAGACCATGATGGGGGGACCTGGGTGGTGAAGTTGGTTAAGCGTCCAAGTCTTGATTTCAGCCTCGGTCATGGTCATGGTCATGGGATCAAGCCCTGCACTGAGCCCCATGTCTGGGCTTCATGCTCAGTGTTTGAAATTTTTTTCTCTCCTTCTCCACCTCCCCCTGTTCGCTCTCTTTCTCAAATAAATAAATCATTAAAAATAAATAAAGACCACAATGGACTGGGCTTCTAGTGAACCTTACTGGTGTATAGAAATCACCAGTAGCATGTATGCAAGATCACTATGGGTTAATTAGAAATAGCACTAAAATCAGTTCATATGGAATGTAATTAGTAATCATGACACATTTCTGTAATATATATAATTCAAAATCATTCAGCCATTCTTCAAGATTTTTTTTTTCTTTCAAAATGATGTTGCAAGAGGGAGAATTTTAAGTTGCAGTGGCTTTGCTTGATGACTGTTAGCTTTAAACAGTTGACTTTTTCTCCTCCTATACTCAACAACTGTTTGCTGATATTTCTTTTGAAGCAAGATTAAATAAATGGCTGAGGGGAGGAAATCATTTCTGCAATTTAGCTGAGACAGTGTTTCAGTCCCAGATATCTAGTCATAAGGGATAAAGAACAGTAGGTTAAAGCGTGTCTAAACACTGTTCTCAGGGATGCAACAGTATAAGATACAGAAGGCTTATTTTCTCTTGTCAAAGAGTTAATTATCTAATAGGTAAGCATCAGGTTTAAATGTTTCACTGACCTAGTGCCTTAGTAATTCAGCAGGGGGGAGATACACCTACAGGTAAGGGTTGCCAATGAAGCCTTGTCCATAAATGTAAAGCCTCATCCACAATTCGAAATCCGACTTTCAAAAATCAGGTTTTTTTAAAAATATATATACGTAACTAATTGAGAACATATTTTGGAAGTGGCCTTGAATATAGGCAAAGATTTAGTAGATAGAGCCTAAAAAGGGAGAAAACCGGGTACCCAGGCAGATGTTACATCTTAAGGCACCTGAATGGGAAATGCCAAAAAATGTGTATTTCAGCATCTCAGACATAGGTGTGGAGTGTGTAAATACTCCTAGAGGTCTGCTGTTTCTTATCGAAAATCCTAGGGATCAGATGTGCTTCAGAAATGAGAGGATTCTGGATTTTAGAAAGGTAATGCAAAGCCTATAATATACTGCTTGCAGGGTCCAGGAAATACCCTGTAAGCAAATCGTTTATATTTGTGCAACAGCAGATGGGCTAAACAAAGATTACAACCTTTCGTCAGTTTAGGTCTGATTTTACTAACAAATTAGCTGTAAGAAAACATTTGACGTTTCAGAGCTTTTGGGTTTTAGAATTATGGTTAAGGTGTTAGTAAATTTGTGTACAGGTTGGGTTGATGGGATAAATCTGCACCTGTATTGGGAGGGTCTTGAAAATCAGGTTGTGACATTGAGCTTCATCCACTAGATGTTGGAGAATCCCTTGGGGGGGGGGGTGAGGGGTAGGGGTTGGAGAGGATGGGCGGTGGGGGGATGGAGGGGTTAAGGGTGGTGTTGTACTAAGTTACATTAGAGACACACGGAGTCCAACTAGCTTGTCCCAAGAATGAAGTGAACAAAACAAACTTTTTCCAAAGACGGAATCCGCAGAATTTCAATGGGATTTGAGAAATGGCCGTCAGGAGGTAGGTGAGGAAGATCAAAAAGAAGGAAAGAGAGGGAGCCAACATTGATTTGGAGCTTTGAGCTTGAGTGACCATGAAAGGAAAGCAGAAATCAAGGACATCAAGGGAAGGCTTGGTTCTGTGAGGACAGTAGTGATTCTAGTGTCAAACACGTGATTTTAAGTGCTGGTGGGACAAGTAGGTGGACATGGCCAAGTGAGGCCCTGGGCCTGGCTGTACATCTTAGAGCCAAAGGAGAAGCCGGTGCTAGAGGGGCACGCTCAGGAGAAGGTCAGGAGAACTTTGTTGGGGAGGAGGCACCAGGAAAGAAAGCCAAGAAGGGGGGTTGGAGTAATGGTGCGGAGGATGCAGGCCTGGGCTGCGGATGGATGAGGATGGCAGGAAACTGGCATGAGCCCGCGCCAAAGACGAGCAGGTGCACTGATGAATCCCTGGGAGCCAGATGCAGACTCAGGAGGGGCCCCGCAGATCGGCGTCGTGGGGATGAAAATCCTCTCTTCGGCTGATAGCTGCTCCTGCGCTTTTGAGCAGTGATCCCAGTAACTAGGGGTCCTGGGCTCCATTGCCTTAATATTTGATTTGTTCTGAGGAAGACCTTGATTTGGTTGAGATAATTTAGGCCAAGATTATTTAGACTGAAACCAAAACCATGTCTGAATTATGAGCAGCTTGAATCCATTTAGTACCAACATAGTTTTTTGAGACGAGAATTTTCTGTTTTGCTTTTCTTATCCTAACTGGTAGGTGAAAGTTAATTTTTACACAAACATATGTATGTAAATGTAAAGCTCTAGCCTGTATATATAATCTATTATCTTACATATATATATATTTTTAATGTTGGAATCTGACCCTTATTTATCTCATTCTGTTTCCTTTTTTTCCTCTCTCTTTAAAAATGCAAAGTGCCATGCTTACTTTAAAGATTTGACTGGTGAGCAAACAGATGACCAGTACTTTGGCCTCTCAGTCTTAATGCAGCAGGAACATAAACCCCTGGGAGAAGTCAACAGAATTCTATTTTTAACGTGGCTGAGTTTTGTTCATAATTACCACTTTAAAGGGCACCTGGGTAGCTCAGTTGGTTGAACATCTGACTCTTGGTTTCAGCTGGGGTCATGGTTTTCAGGGTCTTGGGATGGACCTGGTGTCGGGCTCTGGGGTCAGGGCAGAGTCTGCTTCGCATTCTTTTTCTCTCTCTCCCTCTGGCCCTTCCCCTGCTTACATGTGCACGCACACTCTCTAAAATGAATGAATGAATGATGAATAAAATCTTTAAAAAATTAATTAGCTCTTTAAGACATTTTTCTTTTTCTTTTTTTTTAAGAGGTGGGGAGGGGCAGAGAGAGAGGGAGAGAGAATCTTAAGCAGGCTCCATACCCAGTGCAGAGCCCAACTTGGGGCTCGATCTCCTAACCCTGAGATCATGACCAGAGCTGAAATCAAGAGTCTGACACTTAACTGACCAAGTCCCCCAGGTACCCCAAGACATTTTTCTTTTACAGATTATTTCATTAACCTTTGAAGGTTAATTATTCCATTTGAGATAGAATGTTGGTAGCGTGTGTGGTGATTGTTTAAAAACTTTTGCTCTGCGAATCCTTGAAGGTTGCCTCCTGAATACCGGCACCTACACCAAGCAGAGAAGTTACACGCCCCACCCCTGAGGAGTTTGCAGACTGGCGGGGAGCATCGTCACACACTTGTGTCCCAGAGTCAGGGGCCCTGGGGTGTGCAGCTGCTGATGGTTCTATTCAACAGCTAGTGGCTGCCTCTCCCTGCTGGGGTCTGGGAGGTATCGGTGGGGCAGGTAACAGCTAATGTGGCTCTGGGAGGATGTGAAGACGAGGATGAGAGGGAGGGAAGATCATTCCAGATGGAAGGAATAATGTGCCAACTGCACCAAGACAGAACAGACCACGCCTGTCAAAATACTGTGAGAAATGTGGTGCACACAGGGCCTGGGGTGGGGAAAAGAAGGATCAGAAAGGGAGGTTGGCACCAGTTTGGGAAGAGCCTTCTGTGCACACTCAGCTTTACAGATTTGACTCCCCGTAGGTAGCAGGTGGTCTTAAAATGCTTTTAAGCCAACAGTCTGCATTTTAGAAAGACAGTAGTGGGGACGTGTGGTGGTAGGGGGCCCGGCCACAACTCTCACTGGTACTTGCTACCATTTATTCACTCACCCAATAGTTTTGCATCCAGTGTCTATTTGTTAAGTGCCTCTCTCGTGCCAAGCGCTGCATTTGTGATTTGTAGTTCTGCTTGTCTTCCTGCTTAGTGGTCTTTGTGGTCAACGTAGCCCTGTAAACGCACAAACTATTTAAGGCAAAGTATTTACCTTTAAGTAAAATGGTCCCAGCAGGGCTCTTTGTGAAACGTTGCAGTGGTTTGCTGCTTTTGCACCTGTGTAATCATAAGTTCTGTGTGTTGTGATTTTTTTCGTGGATGTCATTTTTGATGCTGGGAATGTAAAATGTTAGGGGCCTAGGATTTTAGATGCCATCCATGTAGGCCAAATTCTTCCTTTTAGATGCCATCCATGTAGGCCAAATTCTTCCTTTCTTTGGAATCCCTGATCCAAAAAGATGAAGCTCAGTATCACTTAGCTTGACGATCTAGGGCTGCAAATCTGAGGTTCTTGCTTTTGAGGTGCAAAAGACAAGAATTATGTATCGGGCATGCACCGTATCAGTCGGGGAGAGCCAAGGGCATGATTTCTTCATGGCCTTTGCCTCTCGTGTTTCTCTACCTGACCTGCTCTTTGATTGTCCCTCCCAGTGACTTCTTGATTCACAGTTAACTCCATGATCCGTTCTTTGGTCATCTGGTAGATGGGGCAAAGAATGTTGGATTTCAGTGTCAAGTGATGAGCCTGGTGATAGGGCCAACTACCCACTAATGATAAACTTGTGTGCATTGTGAAACCTTGCCAGCCCACGGCCTCAGATGGCACGAACACCTAGTTTTGAGCCTTAAGGAGAACAGTTCGGAAGTCTCTAAGGGGCTAATAAATGAGAGGTGAGCCTCCCTCCCTGAGGCCCACCTGAACACAGTCTCTGCTGCCTTCACAGACACCAGCTCCCTCCGCAGTTTACAGACGGGCATGGGAGAGCTCCATGGGGAAACCAGGTTCTGGCATGGAAAGGACTACTGCAATTTTGTCTTCAAAGACTGGGTACAACTTGATAAACCTTTTGCTGGTGAGTACCATGATAGTGGGTGGCTGCTTATATTTTGTCTTTTACTTGTCAGCATCTGAGCAAGTTTGCATGGGCAGGCTGTCATGTCCTGTGTTCTGCTTTGCTTTGTTTTGGGTATTTGGTAAAAACTCTGGGGACTATGATTCAGCCATACACTTAAGGACTTTTCCTTATAGTCATAAAAAGGAAAGAGCGTGAGATACAGCTTGCTGTCTGAAAACCCTAGGTTTCATCTCAGCATATCTTGGGGGTAATCACCTGTAATTCTGTAAGAGATGGTGCCCTTCCTTTGATCATCTCCTTTTCTGAGTATCATCTTCATCTCCCAGCATTAAAATGGCACATTTTCAGACTATCACTTGTACATGTTCGTCTAGGAGAAGATAGAGATGGAACTGTGTACACGGCCTGGGGTTATTTGAACAGGACACAAAAGGAAAATGTGATATTAAGGACACACCTTAGATCATTGGCACCAACTCACATCTTGCCTTGCCTAGTGATTATCTCATACTAAGTGAAATGGAAACATCATGGGGGAGGGACACGGTTGCGGGGGGACTGTGCCCCTCCATGTGGTATCTATGTTTCCCTTGGCCATCAAGGTACAGTTCCACCAAGCCAAGTCAACACTCCCATGTCTCCTTTTACCTATCACGGTTGGGGGCAGTGCTGGAATCAGATGGCTCGTCCCTGGCACAGCAGTTAGTGACGATGCTTGCCCGGGCCACCGGGCAGATTTCATTGACAGATACTCCACTCCCCGGATGCCGTGGCACGACATTGCCTCCGCAGTCCACGGGAAGGCGGCTCGCGACGTGGCGCGTCACTTCATCCAGCGCTGGAACTTCACGAAGGTCCGTGGTTGGTGTCATCATGACTCCGTCCACATAAAGAGAGCGAGCCTGGGAGACGAGAAACCTGGTGGGGTTGGCGAGAAGGTGCTGCGGTGGCTCGTCTGGCATTGAGGGCCTGGTTGTCAGGGCGCCGGGCTCTGTGGGCAGAAGAAGATGATGTTCCTGAACTTTCACTCCACAGACACTTCAGTGCACAGAGAGATGGATGCTACTTTCAGGGCCTGCTGTGATCCTTTTAATGTTTTGGATACTCAGTGCTGATTAAGCATCGGGTCTGGACTGACGGTCATCTGGAGGCCTATTGAAGGGGGGACAGGGGTCTCGTTTGGATGAGAGAGCTTGAGCTTTCCAGTCCTCCCAGTCCTGGCATTGCGCTGGGTTCATACTGGTCCAGGCTTCTGGAAGGCGGCTCTGAGCAAGGGGAGTGGTGTGAGCACGTTTCCTTCTCTTCAGACTGTGGCTGTGCCTTCATTACAGGAATAACTTAAGTACCTACCATCTGGCTGTCATTAAGGTCCCATCTTATTTACTGTAAATTGTGATGAGGCCTTAGTCTCCTTGATAATCTGGGGGAAAAAAGTCTTATCAACAATTTAGAATCTCACCTTGATTTTCATTTGCATAAGCTTTTATTTACATAAACTTGATGACTTTTTAGAAATAAAGGAAATTTTTTTTGAGATTTATTTATTTTAGAGAGAAAGAGAGAGTGAGAGAGTAGGGGGTGGGGTGGGGGCAGAGGGAGGAAGAATCTCAAGCAGATTCCCCACTGAACATGGAGTCTGAGAAATAATGAAAATATTTTTTAACAGAAATGAAGGGAGCATGAATGAATAAATGAAAGGATATTACTCTTAACCTACTAGTATCTGGGATTGGTTTTGGGATTTCGGATGCTTCTATGCTCTGTTTGTGGTAGGATAAGTTGGTAAACCCCAGAAAGCTTTTTAAAAACTATACAACCTTTAGCTCAGGAAATTTTTTTTTTTTTGGCTATTTCAGTTAAAGAAGTAATCTGATAGGGAATTTATTTTGACATTGCTTCTAATAAGCCTGACAAAATGAGAAATAACTGAAATGTACATTAATAGGAATTTGTTTAACAAATTATGTTCTTTATCATTTTCTTATGAAGTTATTAAAATAGGATATGCAGTGCTGTACTGCTGTGACAAGATATCTAAAACATAGTAAGGAATCAGTCTACGAAAAAAATGCCATTTTTGCAACTATGTGCCTCTAAATCCTAGAGTATATTTAAACTTTCTTTAAAAATATAAAATAATACATGCCCACTACATAAGGTTAAAAAAGAAGAAGAAAAAGAAGGAGAAAAGGAGTTCTCTGACACTGGAAAATGGAAAGAACATTATAAAAATAAATAATCTATTGCCTCTTCAACTAGAAACTCCACAGTTAACGTTTTTCTTCTTCACTTTCAAATGAATCTGAATTTCTTTTATAATCACAAAGTAGGAAAGAAGGGAGCTATTTTCTTATCTGGATCTTTTTTTTTTTTAAAACCTGTTTTCCTTTATTTTAGATCATGAAATCAAAATATCGGTCTCTTTCATATCCTTTCCTGCTTCCAAAATCTCAAACAACAGCCCATGAGTTGAAATATCAAGTGCCTGGGTCCGTCCATGCCAATGTACAGGTAAGTCTGGCTTTTCTTTTTCACTAGATGCTACTGGGTAAAATTACTCTTATTGGATTTAGTGGCTATTACGTTGGCTTCAGTGAGGACACTGAGTTGACCTCACAATGAGGACAACTCCAAAACAAATCTGAAGAGACCTTTTAAAATTTAGAATTATATTTCCAATTTAAAATGTATTCCATTTATACTCTTTTTAAAACTCTTTTATAAATCAAATAAACACAGAGCTTTACTTCCTTAGCACTTGTTTCTTCTGTTACTCGTCTTTTACTCTACACTGCAGCAGATTTATCATTATCTTTACATGAGTGTCTTTTATTTCACCTGTATTATCAATTTCTTTAGCAACACATTAAGTTTTTTTTTTAAGATTTTATTTATTTATTCACGAGAGACACAGAGGCAGAGACGCAGGCAGAGGGAGAAGCAGGGTCCCTGCGGGGAACCCGATGTGGGACTCGATCCCAGGACCCCGGGATCATGACCTGAGCGGAGGGCAGACGCTCAATCGCTGAGCCACCCAGATGTCCTAACACACTTGTTTTTTAGGCCTCTTTTCCTCCCACTGTAGCTATCCTAGAGTCTTACACATGGTAGGTGATTGATAATCTTCTTAGCTGATTCACTTTGATAACAGTTATAGAAAACAATTCCAGTTAACAAGCATTTCCCTTATGAGAGGGTCTCACAGAAAGCATGTGTATTCTTAATCTGTATAATCCTTCATGCATAAATTGTAAAAACATCAAATGCTCCAGAAATTTATATTCCTATCTTTTTGCCTTTTTTTTTAAATGTGTTTGATATTATCACTCGTAGATTACAGAATGACTAAAGAGGATTGATCAATCTGGAACAGCTCATCTATACATACAGAATATTTTGAAAAGTTTCTTTGTCCTCAACTCATGACATTTGCTATAAAGGGCCTGGTTTTAGTTTCCTCAAGAATATTAAGTGGACACATATGTTAAAAATCTTTATGTCACAAGGATTCCAATAAATGTGTTCACAATTGGAAAATGTGTAAATGAATAAATATCCTTAGAAAAGGCCGGTCAAGGAAAGGCTGGTCCTGTAATTGCTTCCGAAGTAACCCTAGCAACATGACACACAGTAAACTGGGGACTGAAGTGACCCTAGCAACATGATATCCCCATAAACCTGGGACTGACACGGCTAAGCACCAGGAATGTGGCTGAAACTTCACATCTAAGAAGCTAGTTATAGTTCAATCTAGTTTTAGTTCCTAATTAACCACATGCCTTTTAGGGGATCTTTTAGTAGAATATGGAATTTGCTTAATGGAGTCACATAATTTTACCACATCCAGTCTAAGCACCTCAAATTACAAATAGGAAAATTAAGACCCAGTGGAGCTAGGAGACCTGTCCAGGGTCACCAGCTGGCTGTAGATAGAGGTGGAGCTTGAAATCCTGCTCTAGTCCTTTGTTACTGCGGCTCTAATATCTTGAGGTCATCAGAGAAAGAACTAGGATGGGCTGCCCTTGTTCAAGGTCATCACTGTCATCATCAAAAGTATTATTTAAGTAGGGACACCTGGGGGGCTCAATCGGTCAAGCATCTGACTCTTGATTTGGGCCCAGGTCATGATCTTGGGGCTGTGAGATCGAGCCCTATGTTGGGCTCTATGCTAGGCATGGCGCCTGCTTAGGATTCTCCTTCTCCCTCTCTCCGCTCCCCTCTAAAAAGGGATTGTGTAAGTAAAGGTCCAGCAGTGGGCTACTGACATCACTAATACAGACTTATATAAGCTGGTCATGGATTCTAGTGAATATGATCATGTAAATGAAAGGCCTAAATCAGTTACTTTGTACTATACACAAGTACTCCTTTGTGTCTAAGGAATAGAAAGACATTTTAGGAAATACCTATAGCAAATATTTAGTTATCCCAGGCTACAGGAGACAAGTAATTTAAACTTAGAGACATAGATGTGTATGTGTTCATATGTAAGTTAATGAATATTTTATGAACCTGTTTAATTTTATTCTACTCAGAGGGAAAAATTACCCATGTTATAAGATAGGAGCCTTCATGTTAGGAAAACAAGAGAGTCTAACTTAAGATTTGAGGTGGCGTTAAAATTGATTCGGTGATCGACTTCTCACAGTTAGCAGACACTAATTAAGCATCTGTTAGGAAGGAATTTCTGGGAATTGTACATTTTTGTGACCAGCAGAGGAAGTTGTATCCTGGTGTTGCATAAACATACGCCTTCTCCTACCTGTTGGTAAAGCCCTGTTTTATAGAATCTCATCGGGTCCCCTGCAAGCTAGATAGATACTCTGCATGTCCGCTCTACAAACTGCCCCCCTCTTGAGTCACCTTCTCTGCGTCACTGAACGCAGTGTTAGGGGTGGGGCTGGACCCGTGAACCTCCTAATAGGCTTATATGTTCATCCTCCATATGCTCCAGTGGCCTGGTCTCAGGAACCAGTGGAGCCAGTTGATTTGAAAGGAAGTCTACCGAGACTTACTCGTAGGTTGGTTAAATGCCATCTGCTTGCACAGGGAGCTCATCCATGCTTACTTGGGTGCTAAGAAAGAAGATAATGGTTCTTCGCCTCTGGAAATGTGGTTAGCTGGGGGAAAGAGGAAGCTATGACGTTGACGTAGTCAATTAATGATGCTGGATGTGGTCTAGGACGCACGGCCAGCATGAAAGTACGTGGCCCAGCATGCTGTGAGAGTCCGGCAGTGGGGACGAGAGCACTGGGTGTCTCTCATAAGCAATAAGCTGGCCTGCGCAGTCAGTGGTGGAACCAACGGGCTCAGACCTTTTGCTCTTGAGGAGTTGGCAGGTGGGTGGGGTTGAGACGGCATAAGGCCAGATTGGGGTTGGCCTGGGGTGCTGGCCTGGTTCATTTGGACCTGATCCTGGAGATGTTAGTGAACTTTGGAACTTATTTTTTTTTTTCACCTGGGGCATGCTATAGGAATGCTTTCTGAAAACCAACCAAGGTCAGAATTTCCAAACCTGGCTTTACCTGTGAGATGCTGATAGCTATGCCCCGATTTCCATGGACAGACAAGTTTTGCGGATTTTCTAAGCACAGGATTTCTTAGCACTTTTAGTATGCTGGTGTGGATCAGGAATCGCTAAGAATGAATGTGCTGAGAATTTCCCAAGCTGAACTGACGGAGGAGCTCTCATTTTTGTCACATCTGTTTCTACCTCTCTGAATGAACACACTTTGGGACCCAAAGTTTACACAGATGAAGAACTTAGACTAGAGACAGCGGAAAGGAAGGGGATCAGTAAGGAGGCTTGTGACTGTAATTCTAGCATATGCAGAGTTTGCATTTGTAAATCAGTATTCTTTTTCTTAAAGAGGACTCCCCCACAATTTAAAAAGTGTTAGACCTCACAGAACCTGAAGCTGTTTTTCAGAACTGCCAAAATAACTCCGGTTGTGAAAACAGGGGGCCCAGCCAGGCGATGCCAATTTTTTGAAGTCAGGAGAGTCTGAGATGACCAGAAACCGAAAAAAAAAAAAAAAAAAAAGAAAAGAAAAGAAAAGAAAAGAAAAGAAAAGAAAAGAAAAGAAATGACCCTGCTCTGTTTCTCTTTTTCTATAAAGTTCTGACCACGGTGTTGTTTCACTTCACCTTATTTACGGGCTCTCAACATTATTCATCTTGTCCTAGACATTATTGTTTTCGAGTCATGAGCCTATAGAGCCTAGAGGCCAAAAGCAATAATCTAGCTGAATTCCTGGTTTTCCAGAGAATCCAGAAGGGAGCCAGGAGATAAGACCTGGTGTGTAGTAGGCAACTTGATATTTAAAGGGTTGATTGTCATCCTTTCAGGCCCTTCCCGCTCTCAGCTGTCATGTGGCAATAGCCAAATAACTCTTACATGCTCTCAGTTGAGAAATTTAACACAATTTAATAAAGTTCTTTCTTAGGCTTATTCTTTTTAAACAAATTCTAACATCATTTTTAACAATTTATTGTTCGTAACAAAATTTAGAGACCACAAGCTTTAACGAACTCAAGGGGATGCTTACAAGGGGAAGGGTAGATTCTAGAGTTAGTGTGTTCAAATCCCAGCTCTGCTACGTACCAGCTGTGCAACCCTGAGTGCTTCACATCTCTGTATGCATTTTCTTCATCAATAACACAGAGATCCCAATAGCATCTGCCTCACAGGGCTGGTGGTGATGGCTAAATGAATCCACGCAAAGCCCTTAGAAAGGTGCACTAGCTTGGATTATATCGATATTAGTTTCAGCCCTCAAGCTTTCCCTAGTGTTTTCAGGAGTTTAGAGCAAAGAAGTTTCCATTTTTCTGGGTGGGCCACTAGGGTAGTCATGGATACAAAATCTTTATACCATGTACTTATTGAAATGGAGAGAGAGAGCATTTGACGTAATAAAGTAGATAGTAGGTGAGACTCATGTTCTTTTATTTGCAAAAGGGAACCCAATTACTTAATTCTTTAACACCAAAACATTGGGCCCCATCATCCTTGGTAATTCCTCACCAGCCGCGATGCACAGCAGTCGCAGAAGGCTTGACATAACCGGCCAGGGTGAACTGAACAGTCAGGGAGGCCGGAGCCAGGGCAGGGGGAACGGAGGCCACCCCCACCAACACGGATTTCTGCTACTAAAAAAAAGTTGTCTGAATCTGAAAGCTGATTTCAGCAACTTCCACTGACACTTTTAAAATAATCTTGAGTGTTTCCCCTCCGAACTGGGCATTCTCAGAAGCCTGCCAAGAACATTTAGGGAAGAAAGCAGAAGGACTTGGGGCCCATGGGTGGAGGAGAGATGGCTCTGAAACCACTTATGCACAGACTATATAAAAGAGCTCGTTTTCTCCCTAAAAGGAGCAAAATAGATTCCCAAATGCTATCATTGTCACTTAAAGTAAAGGACCAAGACAGAGGACATTTGGCATGTCTCTCAAGATAAAAAAAAAAAAAAAGCCTGATGCCAAGTTAGCATCAATATGGGATCAGGGGCGCC